ATTTAGTGGTGATTATCATATTCATGTAGAAAAAGAGCACAAATCTTAAGTAGATTTTTATAAGAAAACACACCCATGTAATAAACAGCACTCAGAGGAAATTGCCAGCATCTCATCAGGTTTTTGGTTTTTTTTTTTTTTTTTCGGGGGGGGGCAAAATTTCCCACTGATTATAGGTTAACTTAAACAAAAAACCCCCAACTTTTCACCAACCTTAAAATTGTTTTCCACCATTAACATTTTGCCAGATCTTGATGGGAATTCTTAAGTCTTGAAAATTAGCCAAGTGAGAAAAAGCCAATGTCTGTTCTGATATCTTTTTTATCAAAATGACCTTTTCAGATGCAGTGCCACCAAATACACATGGGTTTGTTTTGTTGTTTCCTTTTAGCTACCCTGCTGTCCTTGAGAGTCCTCCCAGAGTTTAAGAAGAAAGCCGTATGGACCAGAGCTTATGGCTGGTAAACAGCTTTGCAGTAGCTAGCAGCATTCTCAGCTGGATGAGGCAAATCATAGAAATGGAAGGAGTTCTTAAGAATTCAGTCTGGGATCAGTGAGACATTGATCCTCACAGTGAAGAGTCATGAAATGGTGGCCACATACCTGAAGCTTGCTTGCCACATTCATTGCCAGGAGGAGGGGTACATAATTTTGTTACCCAGGCAAGACTGAAACAGGAACATGAATTTTCTTTATTTGACTGGAGTTCAATGTGAAGATTTTCTTTTTGACAACTTGACTCTACCTTCTTCTATCCCCTCAATTCTAGTAAAATATTCTTGTGAATTTTGTGCATGTGACTTTTATTTGTCTTAAGGTATGGGGGAAGGTTTTGCCAGCCAAAGCAAACTATAGTGGTGACAGTGGTGTTATGATCTGATTTCCATGAAGTCTAAGTAGATGATATTCATTGACTTAGACAAGTTTTATTACTATTGATAAATATTTTGGAACTGCTATACACATTTAAATAATAAGCATGACACTGGATATCAGCTAAATTAATTATTAGTGAGGGCTATATTTCTTTATGCTTTGTTCCCTTTAATGCAAGCAAAAATTATCCAGTTCAAAATAAATCGGCCAAAAAGGTGAATATTAGTTCACAAACCAAGAAATTTTAGATCTAATGAGCAGCAGTTGCATCCAGTGAATCAAATGGTGCCATCAGACTTTGTTCTTCTTGGGATGCTTCTACATCCCTGCAAGATGGCTGCCATTTTGCCAAAGGTAAGGAAAAGTGTCTTTGCCCACAGGTATAGCAAAAGCAACATGGGGAGAAGTTGCTTCATTCCATGTCACATGTGAGTCTCTGAACAAGTGTTTGGTCCTTGGGAAGTAGAACACTGTCATTGGCCAAGCCTAAGTCATAAGTCTACTTATCTTTAGATCCCTGCACAAAGAGAAGAGGCAGCCCACCCAGACCGTGTGAACTGTATTTCTTCAGGATGCTGGGTAGGCAGAAAATGGCAAGTGTCTCCTCTAATTTTTTTTTTTTTACAAGTACAAATTTCTTAGGGTGACTAGTGGTCTAAAGAAAATGACAATGTCCTCAAGGATTGCATTTTATTCAGTGGCTTGTCTGTTTGCTAACTATCCTTTTTTCACACAACCATTAATCAGGGTTCTGTCTCTCGGCAATCATACACATACTGATACATCTATGAGATCACTGGGAAGAAAAATTATGCCACTGAAAATATGTACCTTTGTACTGTACCAGCATAGTATAGTGGCTGGTGCTCCACAAGTGTCATGAACTTCTAGTATTCCCATGTGGCTTGTACTTTCATGTTGTCACCAAGTGTACCTGCCACCTATGTTGAAAATGGTCCTACTAGTTTTGTTTACCAAATCTATTATTTCCTTAAAGGTTGAGCTAGAGGGAAATGAATTTAAAAAGCAAGAAGGTAGAAAATTTAGATTGGAAACTAGCTTTCTCCTTCCCACCCACATACACTGTCTCATACTATTGTTACAGGTTGAAATTCATCTAGCATTTACTGTTGGGTGCCAGACTGTAAGTACACTTGTATTGGTTTATTTCACTCTTGCAGCAATACCATAAGGAGATATTGTTTTCTATTTTTTAAAAAATGCAGTAAACACATCCAGGAAGTGGCAGTCTCACCTCTAGCCAAGTTCCTAGAGCTGAAATTGTTTTGGATCTTAGGTTCTATCAGGCTTATTAGATTCTTCTTTAAGATGGAAACTCCCATCAAATCAAATCCCATTAAATCTGTTTCATGCTTACTGTAAGATTGGTGCACTCAAAAGAAACAAGTCTATCTTATATTACCAGACCTCTGGAAGTGGGAAGTTTAGAGTTGTGGTACAAAGGTGTAGGACTTTAGATTTCTGTATCATTTTGTAAATAGAGGTGGCAAACTCAGATTGCTCTTTTCCTTTCAGCTGTCTCTTTTCAAACCTTGTCCCTCCCTGCTCCTGTCCTTGATAAGAAAACAAGGATACAAAAGAGAAAAAAATAAGATATCTTCCTATCTTCTCTTCCCCAGCTCCCTTTTTTGCTTTTGAGCAGACTTGGATGGAAGATTCATGGGATTTTCTTATTCGTGGGAACCTCAAAGGTTGTAAATTTGACAGTACAAACATTCTAAGATTTAGGTCACTGAAATAATAAGACCCTTCTTCTTCATTACCTGTATGATCTCAGGTAAGAATTAATTATTCCCTCAAGATATTTTGGTTTGCTCTCTAGAAACCAGAAGTCTCTGCTTTTTTAAACCAGATGTTCCTTACTATACACAAAAGGAAATTTAACTTACAAGTCATCTTCTGTTAGTTTTTGAAAACACAAATGCCAAGAGAAATAGCATGCAGGGATATACTAACAAATTAATGTGGGGTTAAAGCCATGTTATGTTTCTCAAAAGTATCCAAACATTCTGACTCTTGATTTAAAAAGTGTACATTTAGAACAGATGTTGGGATCCGTGCAAGTACCTAAAATCTTCTGTTTTATTTGTAATGGAATGGCTCCACGGTAACTAAGAGGCTATTAATAACTTTTTTTGAAGTCATTTGCTAGAAGTTAGCTTCTCTCGGAATGCTAGAATTTGGAGGTGAGGCCTGTGAGAAGTAAGTAGATATGGGTGTGGAGCCCTCATGAATGGAATTAGTAAGCTTACAAGAGACACGGGAGAGATACTTGCTTTCTCTGCCATGTGGAGATACAGCAAGAAACCATCCATCTGCAAACCCCAAAGAAGAAGGAGTTGTTATCCTGGAATCTCACCAGGAACTGAATGAGCTGGCACCTTGATATTGAACTTCTTAGCCTCCAGAGTTGGAGAAACCTATTTCTATTGTCTAAGTCACCCAGTGTACAATATTTTGTTATTGTAAACAAATCTATGATACACCAAGAAGCAGGTGCTGTTATACCAAATATATAAAAATTTAGAAGTATCTTTGAAGTTAAGTAATGGGTAGAGACTGGAAGAGTTTCAAGATGCATGATAGGAAAAACTGCTAATACTATTTAGGAATTGACACAGGTGATTTGGGTGAGGGCTAACAGAAAATAGAAGAAATCTGGAAAGAAAGTGCAATCTTGGAGAATACATAAATTATCATGAAGAGAAAACTGACAGAAATAAGAATAGTAAATGCCATTTTGGATGAGGTGGTAGATGGTAATGAGGAACATGTTATTGCAAACTGGAAGAAATGGAATCTTTGTTGTAAAGTGGCAAGTAACTTGGCTGGATTGTGTCCATGTTCTAGTGTTTTGTGAAAGGTGAGACTTGTGGGCAATGAACTGGATATTTAGCTGAGGAGCTCTCTAAGCAAACTGTTGAAGTGATTTGGTTTTCCTTCTACTGCCTGAATTAAAATATGAAACTAATGCATTGAGGACAGAATTATTAACCAAAAAGAAGCATTTAAAGATTTTGAAAATTCTGAGCCCATTCATATTACAAAAAATAAGAAAATATGTTCTAAAGAGAACACTGAGGGTGTGATAGGAGACCATTCAATAGAGTTTAGTGTGGGTGTGAACTGCAGACGTAATCAGTTACCAGCACTGATAGTTTGAACTGAAGGGAATGGAGATGAGACAAAGGGAAGGTTGGTTTTGGATGACTTGGATTTTACAGGAGACCATAGAGTTCATCAGCTGTGAATGTAGACCAGGGAAGAAGGACCCTAAAGGTGATTCATCTGCCAGGTGCCACAAGACTGAGACCATCCAAAGCTGTGAGGACCCGGCCTTCCCCAACAGAGATGGATAAGACGTCTCCCCAGTGGGTCCTGAAGGCAGAGCAGGAAGTCAAAGATCACTCCTGAGCCCTCAGATCTCAGAGTTTGTCTTGCTAGGGTTCGAACCTACTGGGGACCTGTTGCCCCTTTCTTCCCACCCGAGTCTCCCTTTGGAAATGGGAATGTCTGTACAGCGCCCATCCGACCATTACATTTTGGTAGCATGTAATTTATTTGAAAAAAAAAGTTTGCCTATACCTGAGTCTCACTTTACTCTGATTTACATGATACTTAGATAAAACTTTAGACTTTGCAGGAATGAATTAGGTTTTAGGGGCTGTTGGGATAGAAGGAATGTATTTCACTTATAAGAAGGACATAAATTTTGTGAAGTCAGGTTCAAAATGCTATAGACTGAATCTGTGTTTCCCTAAAATTCCTGTATTAGGCCCTAACCCTCAATGCAACAATACCTGGATGTGGAGCCTTGGGGAAGCAGTTCTTTGATTAGGGTGGAACCCTCCCAAATAGGATTAATACCATTATAAGAGGAGTTGTGAGACAGTGGTCCGTCTTGTGTTAAAAAAAAAAAAAAAAGGCATCTGTCTATAAACCAAGAAGTCCTCACTAGGAACAGAAATCTTGGACTTCTAAAACTCCAGAACCATGAGAAAAACATTTATTTAAGCCATCCAGATTGAGGCTTTTGTTATCGAAGCCTGAGAAGGCTAACATAGGCCTTGGAACGATGTTTAATTTTCTATATGTAGCTAGTATTTATGGTGGGTACTGACATTTGGGGACAAAGACATTTGTCCATGAAGTACATTATTCTAGATGAGGACAGAGTGTATTTTATAGTGCTCTCCTCCTACAGATCTGCTGCTATTTGACAATCAGAAGTGAGAAGGAATACATGTGATTTAGGTTATCAAGTCTGGTTTCTCAATTTAACTGAACTTAATTCCATTGATTTCCCTTTTCTCATTAAACTTACAGTGAAACAATCAGACTTCACCCAATATAAATGTAACTTGTGTAAAAACCACAGTTTGGGGGAAACAGGGTATGCAGAGTACACATTTTGGAAATACAGTGAGTGATAAACAGACTGCTGTTGTGTGTAGAGTTGGGGATGTGTGATTATGTTATGTCATGGGTTTTTGTCAAGTACTGGGTATTTTCCACTAGAATACTTCCTGTGTTGTAGTTGCTGCAGCCAAGTCCACGAGCCTGTCTTTTCTCAGGTCACATTGGAATGCTGTACTTCATATTTTCTTCTTCTTAATGGAAAAGACTCTGAGGACGTCTCTTCTTTCTGAGTAAAGATGACTGTAGGTAAAATACATGCCTAAGGTGGAGAGGAAAGTGGCAAAAGTAAGTAAGGTTGATTAACCATTTCTCTGGAAAGAACCCTGACTTGATAACAGAGTGCTTCCTGAGTCCAGGGAGCCACTCATGAGGGAGACTTGGAGGAGGAACACGTAAGGACGTGTCCAGATTTTATGCAGAAAGGAAGTAAGTCAAACTCTTCCATCCTACTGTTTTATTTCAATACAGGGAGTATTTTTCCTTTTTGTGGGAGGTAGTTCTCTTTACTCTGAAGTTGTATCTTTGCCTTTTCTCTGTGATGTTCTTGTATCTGATCTCTATTGCCTTCCAGAGATGATCATTATTTTGAGAATTTGTGAAGGTTAGATCTGGGGAAATGTAAATTTAATAATGTAACTCTTTTCCCTAATTTCCTGGAAAACAATTAATTCAAAAAAATTTCAACTACTTTTTATTAATCCAGAGTATATTTTATTTACATAGCATAGCTTTACTCTTTAATCTCAAGTTTCCTGCAAATGTATTAGACTTTTAAAAAATTTTATTACTTGTATATATTAATGGGTTCAGTGATGTTTCCACACCATGCATACAGTGCACACTGATCATATCCAGCTACCCTTCTACCCATGACACGCTCTCCCCCATTGTCACCCTTCCCAGTCACTGATAATCACTATTCTATTTTCAGGTTGACTACATTTTGAGAGAAAACACAAATACTTGTCTGCCTATGGCTTATTTTGCTTAACATGTCCTCCAATTCCATCATTTTTTTCTGCAACTGTCAGAACTTCATTTTTCTTAGCTGAATAATATTCCTGTGTATATGTGTACTTTTTAATCTACTTATCTATGAATGCCCACCTAGGCTTATTTCATGTCTTTGCTATTATGAAAAGCACCACAATAAACATGGGCATGCAAGTATCTCTTTTGTATGCTAACTTCCTTTCAATATATACTGTTCTCCGTAGTCATTCCTAATAACAGCATATGAGAGTTTTTGTTTCCTTTACTTCCTCGCTAGCATGTGTTTGTTTTGTTTATAATTGTCATTCTAACTGGGGTGAGATGGTATTATGGTATTTCCCTGATGGATGGTGATATTGAGCATGATTTTTCATGTATTTCTTCTTTTGAGATGTTCAGATCATTTGCCATATTTAATTGATTTGCTTTTTACATTAAGATTTCTGAGTTCTTTATACATTCTGGATATTAAACCTCTGTCAGATGAATAGCTGGCAAATATTTTTTCCATTCTGTACATTGACTCTTCATGGTTGATTGCTGTGCTGCAGCTTTTGACTTGGATGTAATCCCATGTGTCAATATCTGCTTTTCTTTCGAATCTTATCCAGAAAATCATTATCTGTACCAATAGCTTGAAGTGGCTCCCTGGTTTTCTAAGTGGAAGTTTCAGAGTTTCAAGTCTTACACTAAGGTCTTTAATTCATTTTAAGTCAATTTTTGTGCAGGGTGAAAGATAGAGATTAAATTTCAATCTTCTGTATGTGTATATCCAGTTTTCCCAGCACCATTTGTTGAAGAGGTTGTACTTCCTCCAATATGTTTTTAGCACCTTTGTTAAGATTCCATGGGCTGTAAATGTGTAGGTTTATTTCTGTGTTCTCTGTTCCATTGGTATATGTTTTCATGCCAAACCCATGCTATTTTTGTTACTGTGGTTGAACAGTGTGTCTTGAAATCAGATATTATGAAGTCTGCATCACAGGGTCTTTTGTACTTTCATTTAAATTTTAAGATCTTTTTCTATGAAGAATGTCATTGGTGTTTTGATGGGGACTGCAGTGAATCTGTAGACTGGTTTGGTAGTATGGCCATTTTCACAACATTAATTCTAATCCATGAACATGGGAAGTCTTGCCAACCTTAGCATCTTTAATTTCTTATATCAGTGTTTTGTGATTCTCATTGTAGAGGTCTTTCACTTCTTTAGTTTATTCCCAGGTAATTTTTATAGCTATTGCAAATGGGATTTTTAGTGATTTTTTTTTTTTTAGAAAACTCATTGGTGTATAGAAAAGCTATTGATTTTTATATGTATCCCACTCGATAAATTCACTCATGAGTTCTAATAGTCTTTTGGTGGAGTCTTTAGGATTTTCTATGTATAGAATCATATCAATTGCAGATGAATAATTTGATTTTCTCCTTTCCTATTTGTGTGACTTATTTTTTTTCCCTTACTTAATTCCTCTGGCTAAACCTTCTTGTATTATTTTGAATAAAATCAGAGTTGCCACCCTCATCTTGTTCCTGATCTTAGAGTAAATGCTTTTGGTTTTCCCCCATTTAGTATGGATGTTGGCTACGGGTTTATCACATATAGCCTTTGCTATGTTGAGGTATGATTCTTCCTATACCTAATTTGTTCAGGGCATTTATCATGAAGGGATATAGGATTTTATCAGATACCTTTTTTAAAAAAAACTTTTTTTAGTTGTTGATTGACCTTTATTTATTTACTTATATGTGGTGCTGAGAATCAAACCCAGTGCCTCACACATGCTAGGCAAGCACTCTACCAACTGAGCCACAACCCCACCACACAAGATACCTTTTCAACATCTACTGAGATGATATTTTATCCCTCCTTCTGTTTGTAACATTATACATATTGATTTATGCATATTGAATCATACTTGCATCCCTGGAATGAAACAACTTGATCATCATGCATGTTTTTTTAATATTTATTTTTTAGTTTTAGGTGGACACAATATCTTTATTTTATATTTATGTAGTGCTGAGGATCAAACCCAGTGCCCCATGCATGCTAGGTGAGCACTTTACCTCTGAGCCACACACAGCCCCATCATGCATGTTTTTGATGTACTGAATTTGGTTGCTAGTCTTTTTTTTTTTTTTTTTTTTGCATCTATGTTCATCAGAGATGTTGGTCTGTAGGTTTGTTAATGTTTGTCAGGTTTTGGTAACAGGGTAATGCTAGCCTCATAAAATGTGTTTGGAAAGGCTTCCTCCTTTTATGGAATAGTTTAAAGAGTTTGGTAAAATTCAGCAGTGAGACCATCTGGTCCTCAGGGGGAGACTTTTTATTACATATTAGATCTCACTATTTATTGATCTATTCATGTTTTTTATTCTCTTGGTTCAGTTTGGCAGGTCATGTGTATCCCCAAATATGTCCATTTCTTCCAGATTTTCCAATTTGTTAGCATATAGTTTTTCAAAATAATTTCCAGTGGTCTGCTGTAATTCTGTGGTAGCAGTTGTAATGTCTCCTTTTTCATCTTGATGGTTATCTGGATCCTCTTTTTCTTGGTAAGTGCAGCTAAAAGGCTGTCCTGTTCGCTTAGCTCTGTGTACATTATAATTATACATAATTTGTTCAACCTCCTTAGTACCTCTTTTCCCTCTGCTCCTTCCTCCCTGATCTACTTGCTCTACTGATCTCCATTCTATTATTTTAATTAGTGCATCATCATTACATGTAAATGGGGCTCACTGTGGTATATAACTACATAGGCATAGGTAGATTTTCTTCCCTCATACTTCCTCATGCCCTCCCCTTTCTCTAGACTATAGGTCTCTTCTGTTTTCATGAGATCCCCATTTTTATTCCTTTCTCCTTTTCTATCTTCCACCTGAGAGACAATATTTGACCCTTTACTTTCTGGATATGGCTTATTTCACTGTTCTCCAGTTCCATCCATTTACCAGCAAATGGCATGATTTCATTTTTCTTTATGGCTCAATAAAACTCCATTGTGTATATATGCAACACATTTTCTTTATCCATTTATCTGTTGATGGGCACCTGGGTTGGTTCTATTACTAGTCTATTATGACTACCTCAGCTACACTAAAAATTGGTATGCATGTCTCACTATAATATGCTGATTTTAGTTCCTGTGGATAAATACTAAGGATAGCTGTGTCATATGGTGGGTCCATTTCTAGTGTTTTGAGGACTCTTCATACTGCTTTCCAAAGTGGTTGTATTAATTTGCAGTTCCACCAACAATGTGCAAGTGTATCTTTTCCTCAATACGCTCCCCGGTATTTGTTATTTGTATTCTGCTTCAGCCTCCCAAGTACCTGGAATTATAGGCATGTGCCATTCTAAGTGGGGTGAGATAAAAATCTGTGTAGTTTTGATTTGCATTTCCTGAATTTCTATTTGATACATATCTTTTGACAAATGACATTTGCCCTTTTATTGATTCAGTTTATTTTTGGTGTTTTTAGTTCTTTATACATTCTGGATATTAATCCCCTGTTGGAATAGTAACTGACAAAGATTTTCTCCCATCCTGTAGTCTCTTCTTCTCTTGTTTTCTTTGATGTGCAGAAGTACTTAAATTTGATGCCATTCCACATACTGATTCTCAGTTTTATTTCTCGAGATTTAGGAGTCCTAAGGAAGTTAGTGCCTGCAAAGGTTGTTTAGCTTTTAAAGAACCAACTCTTTATTTCACTGGCTTTTTGTGTTGTTTTTTTTAGTCTTTCATTTCTGCTGAGCTATATTATTTCTTCCTTCTACTATTTCACAGTTTGGATTTTTTTTTTCTAAATCCTTGAGGTACATCATTAGGTTACTTAAAGTCTTTTTAAATACAAGAAATCATTGCTATAAATTTCCCTCATAATACCACTTTTGCTGCCTCCCACAAGGTTTGGTATATTTTGTTTCATAAATGTTTTTAAAACTTCCCTTCTGACTTCCAGTGACTCACTTATTCTAAAGTGTGTTATTCAGTTTTCACATATTTTTAGAATTTCTATAGCTATTCTTATTTTAATTCCATTGTAATCAGAAAAGATACAAGATACAATGAAATCATATTAAGACTTGTTGTGGCCTAATGTATGGTCTAGAGAGTTATGTACTGATTTAAAAAACATGTATTCTGAAGCTGTTGGATGGACTGTTCTGTAAATGTCTGTTAAGTCCACTTGATATTTAGTATGGTTTAACTTTGATGTTTTATTGTTTTCTTTTTGTCTAGATGAGTTGTCCACTGAAGAAAGTAGGATATGGAATTCCCCTGCTGTTATCACACTGCAGCCTATCCCCCCAATTTAGGGCTAATAGTGTTCATTTTATAAAATTGGATGCTCCAATATTAGATACTGATAGATTTCCAAACACCTTAATGAAATGATACCTCCTTGATCATTACAAGGAGTGATGTTATTTCTCAGTTTTTGATAAAGTCTATTTTGTCAAATGCAAGTATAGCTATTCTTACGTTAGGATTTCATTTCAGGATATTTTCCATCTCTTGTGTATCATTACTGGTAAAAATTTTTTAGTATAAGAGAGAGAACCCAAGGGTGCTTTAGCACTGAGCTACATCCCCGGCACTTTTAATTTTGAGACACAGTCTTACCAAGTTGCTGAAGCTGGCCTCAAACTTGTGATCCTCCTGCTTCAGCCTCCCAAGCAGCTAGAATTATAGGCATGTGCCACCATTTCTTTCCAATTTGTATTTTTTAATTGGAGAATTTAATCTATTTACATTTTTTTACATTTAAGTTTATTATTCAGGCATACATACTTATGCCTTTTTTGTTAATTATCTTCTAGTTGTCTTGAATATTCCTTTTTCTTCCTCTTATTCATCTTTGTGGTTGGATGGCTTATTGTAATAATAATGTTTGAATCTTTTCCATTTCTCGTGTGTATCTTCTGCTCTAGTGGAACTTACAGTTTTACATGCAGTCATTGTGGTAGTTTTCTTTCTTTCACTTCTGGATATAGGACTCTCTTAAGCATCTTTTGTAAGGCTTATCTTGTTATCCTGAATCCTTGAAAGGTCTTTATTTCTCAAAGATACCCTTGCAGGTAATAGTAATCTTGGTAGCAGTTATTGTTTCAGGTGACTTGAAATATATCATTACATTTCCTCCTGGCCTGCAGGATTTCTTTTGAGAAATCTTCAGTTAGTCTTAAATATTACTTGGTACTTTCTCAGAGATTTTAAAATACTTTGTTCCTGTACTTTTGACTATTTGATTATAATGTGTCATGGTAAAGGTATTTCCTGGTCATGTCTACTGGGAGTTCTATATGTGTCCCATATATGGATGTCCATGTCTTTCCCCAAATTAGGGATGTTTTCTGTATCTTTAACCTTTAGCTCCTCACCTTTGGATATTCCAAAATGAATATTTGTTCATTTAATGTCACCCACAAGAACTTGAAAGCATTCAAATTTGTTTTTTTTTTTCTTGTTTGAATGGGATATTTCAAAAGACCTGTCTTCAAGCTCAGATTCTTTCTTCTACTTGATATAGTCTGTTAGGCCTTTGACATTTTCCTGTGCTTTATTGAGTTCTTCATTTGCAAGATTTGTTTGGTTCTTTTTCAACTCTTTTTGCTGGGTTTCTCATTCACATCCTGCATAATCTTCCTAATTTCATTAACTGTTTATAGTCTTAGATCTCAGAGATTTTAAAAAATCATTCCCTTGAATTATTTGTCAAGTATTTCATTCATTTTGAGTTCTTGGAATCTATTAATAGAGTTATGATCTTTGGGGGATACACGATTGCATTGTATTTTCATATTTCTAAATTGAGATTTGGACATTTGGTAGATCAGATATCTCTACCACATTTATGGAATGGCTGTTAGTAAGTAACCTTCTCTTAAAGAAAGATGTCTAGGGATGTCAGTTTGTTATTCAATGTTGAATTTATTTCCAGCTAGGCACCATGTTGTCTCCCTGTAGCTTCTTTGTCTGTGATTAGTGAATTTGGGCACAGTGTATACCATGTTTGTGTCAGAGGGGCTCATGATCTCTGTGGGCTATGCAGGGACACTCTAGTGGTAGTTCAGGCAGATGTAGCATAGGTAGCACATAAATGTATGGCTTCTCTTGCAATGGAAGTGGTAGCCCCTATCAGGTAATAAGGGTTTCTTCAGGTACTGGTGACTTCGTTATTTGCAAAGGTCTTTGGCACTGTCTGTTCCCATAATGATATGGGCTTAAAGCACTTATCCTATAGCCAGACAATGGTGTAGGCTCAGGTCCTGCATGGGAGAGGCAGTGGAAGGAACCACAGCATCCCTGTGACACTCACACCCAACCTGACAGCAGTGTGTGATCAAACAATGTGTAAGAAGGCCTAGTGGTGGGAATCCCATTTGTGTGATGGCAGCAGGTATTCCTTTCTGCCTCTGCTGTGGGGCACTCCTTCACGAGAGAGAGGGAAATGGCCTGGCTTTTTTTTTTTTTTTTTTTTAACCACCAATTCTTTTAGCCATAGTGGCTGCTAGTAAGTTTGCATGAATAAGATGTGTTTGGACCTGGGCAAAATTCCTCTCAAAGCCTCCTTTGGTCATGAGTGCCTCCTGGCAGGGGTGGAGCCACAACCAAATCTGTGGCATTGCTTAAAGTCACTCTAGCACACCTGTGAGAGCATGGCAGCAGTAAAACCACAGAATTCTTTCCTTACCCTCTTAGTGGCAGGCACATATACACAGAGCTTGGGGGAGGGGAGGGTTGGTGGGAACCACATGGGTGATTGCCTTTAGTCCTGGCACCTAGTGCAAATCTGCATGCAACTGGTCACATCCCTGATCTCAGAGGGCAAGCTCTGCAATCTCCCCTTTCTTGAGGATAGTTTCCTCTCCATTCCCTTCCTTATCATAATACCTGTCCTTACTGTTCAGGGCACCCAGTGGGTTTGATTCAGAAACACTCTACTGGGTCAAGTTTAATTCACAAGACAAGTTTGGTTCAGGTACCCACTGAACCAGTGCAGTGGAATTTCAATCGCATCCCAGAGATGGGAATATTCCAGGGGCTTCTGACCCTTGCAACATCCCAAATTCACACAGTAGGTTCCTTTTCAAGGTGTCTCCCCACTGAAACCTTAGGTGCCATAGCCGGAAGATATGAAATCCTTTTCTAAAGCAAAGCTATTGTGCAGATTTCAGATTGTTCATCTAATTAGGCTACAAGCCTGTGAGGGTTGTGAAACTCTCCAATAGCTAGAATTGCCAACATCCACACTGATAGTTTGCTAAGACTCTATTTCTCATTTACCCCTGCAGAGGGAAGACACTCCATTTCCTGGCTACCGCTCCCATCTGCATATTTTGTTTCTTACTATGCTTTTGTTGGATCTCTGAACCTACATGTTCAGATTCTCTTGCAGTTGCTCCCATGATCATTTCCTCCACATGCAGCTATATACCCGTTGCTTTGGTTTTTCTTTGTGGAGGAGCAGCCATCTTAAAATCCCGCCCAACTGTGTTTGTTCCATAAATTTTTCTCAAGTCTTTATCACCAACTCCTGTTTTCTTGCTAGCATATGAGGCCAAACAGGAAACAAGATAGACTTAAGTGGAAAAATCAGGAAGTGCCTGCTTATTTTGATATTTGTAGCTATCTGTGCCTATGGTCAAAACTTATATGTTTCATAGATAATAATTATGTTTTCTGCTAGCAAAACTGTTCTTGATTATATAGTGAAACATGTATATATTTGATCTCATGGTGCCCTGAAGAAAGCATTATAACTTCCAAGTGCTTTAATAACATGATCTAGTTCATTGTATTGGGCTTCTCCTTTGGTCTTTTCTGTTTTTACTAACTTGTCTATTAAGGTAGATGGTAGTGTAAACCAAAAAAACACAAGAATAATTCATAAAGCAAAACAAACAGCACTTACCTATAAAGAGCATCATGAGATACAGCCTTAGCACATATGGGAAATAGATGGAGAAGTCAAAAGGCAGCTTGGTGGAGTAAGTGCCAAATGATTCAAAATAAGGCAGCGACTGATAGATGGCAAATGCTGTTTAAAGAAAAAGGACATCATAAGATTCTCCTCTTCAACATGTTCCAGGTTGTGTATGTATGTCTCCCTAGTTGAACAAGTTTTTGAATCTGACAGTTTTCTGATGTTTGCCGAATCCTCTAGCTGACATTGTAGTATGGTATTGAAATTTCTGCTGAATAATCAAGTGAACAAAGCTGTTACATCAGTGTGACTTTCTGAATTTTTGTCCAGGATATACTCTATTATGCTCACATGGAAAAAATTATAGGCATTTTTAAAAGGGTAATTCAAAATACTTCTGTGCCCCTTACCACAAATAGGGGTAATAATCAAATGAACTTGGGAGACGCTACATACTTTTTTCTCCTGGAATGGTCCAACACACAATTAGCACAATAAAGGTCCTGAGAAATTTTGCAGTGAAGAGACTAATATCACCCATTTTCTCAGACTATCTCCTCCTCTCTCACACAGCCCTAGTAGTACTTAATAAAACTTCTAGGGAACTCATACCTGAAATGCTGGCCTAAATTATTTTGAAGGAGGAGGCTGGTGTCAAAAAGATGGAGACTTCATGAAACTGTATCCCATGTGTAGATTTTTAATAAAATATATAATTTTTTCCATGAAATAAAACACTACCAGTGATGTGAGATGTTATCACTAGGGAAAGGATGAAAGGTACAGGGGAATTAGACACTAGTTCTGCAATTTCTTATGAGTCCAACCTTATTTTAACATAAGAAAAGTCAAATGGATCTGCAATGGACACCAAACATGCCACCCAAGACTAACACGATTGCCCCTCAGTCTCTAGTATTTCATCATAGAACCAGTTGATCTGGTTATTTATATGAATTATGTTTTTCTTATATTTACCAGATGTAAGAACTATGTTATTTAAATGAGTTATTAACCTATTAAAAGTTATCAAAAGTTAAAGTTTTCTTAACTACATATTCTTATCCTAAGAGATATTTGAACTATATAGAAACAAAATCAGTCACCCATATTCCCTACCCAGGATTCATAACTGTTGACAATTTTGTCATGAATGCTTCTAGATTTTTTTCTGTGTATACTTCGTAAGAATCAGTTTACGAATTTAATAAAAGAATATGGGTTGTATGACAGCCATGTCTGTCTTAGAAAGAGAAGAGAATTAACAATAGAATACATTTAGTCATCACTAGTTTTAAGAAGAGATTAATCATATTTCTACTTTATTCCCTAATTTAAAATTTTTATTTTGGGTTTTATTAATTTTAATTAAAAGTTATAACTGTATACACTTGTGAGACAGGGTATATGTCTTGATATATGTATAAAATGTGGACTGATGAAACAAGCTAATTAACATACTCATCACCTCATTTATTTTTGGTGGCAAGACATTAGAAATTTACTTTCAACTATTTTAAAATAAATTATTACTAGCTACAGCCACCTTGCTGTGAAGCAGCTCTCAAAAATTTATTCATCCTAATTTAAGCTTTCCATGCTTTGACCAACACTCAGCCCATCATTCCTTTGTATATTCTTTATAATGTTTTTGTGATATAACAAAGGAATGTACTTAATGTTTAAATGAGTGAGAGATTTCATTCTTAAAGAAAGGGCAGTTTTATGGATTTTCAGGAAGATTATTCCCTAGACTCTTTTGACATAGTCTATTCCGAAATTTAATAAATCTTCCTTTTGAAAACAAAGCAAATTTAAAAGTTATATCTAATTTGATTTACTGTAACTTTAGCTCCTTTTCTCTGGTCAACAGTAGATAGAAAACATATGGCTTTATTTTACATGCTGGTCTTTATGTACTTTATGATTATTGGCAACATCACCATCGTTTTATGGTGAATCTGTTCCTTTATGATTTCCCTTAGTTACCTCAACATGCATTCTTATTTTATGCCTTCAGTTTTCAAAAACTTTAGTCGTCTTTTAGAAAGCTCCCTAGCAGTCTGCCAAATCCATTACAGAAGTAAGTGTGTATACTCCAAATATCTTTAAGTTCTTTGCAAGTTGGTGATTTTTATTAAGTTTGAGGTTTATATTTTGGTTACGTAATTAACCTGCTTGGTATTGGAGCTAACGATTCATTCTGTGTTTACTGAGCTAGTGCATAAGAGAAAGGAGAAAAGCAAAGAAACAGACACACCCTATGCCTTCATGGAGCTCAAATGTAGTTAGGGAACTGGATATTATTCAAAGAATCATAYAAATGTCTAGTTAAAGCTGATAGGCCCTATAAAAAAAAATTCATGAAACCATAGTAGGAAGAATTTACGTAGTTGAGAAGTTTGTGAAGGCTTCTCTCAGAAAGCAACTATTCATCTTGTAAAGGTAAAATTTCTAAGCTGACTCTAAGCTACAAGAGTCTGAGTTAAAGTGTAAAAGAGTGGGCATTGTAAAGTTTCTAAATTGAAAGGCTTGGGCTAAAAAAAATAATAATAGACCAGGTATTGTTAAATTCCTCTGCTACCCCAGGAACCTGTAATCTCTGTAGCTGTTAGGACAATACCTGAACTGCCCAGTAAATATTTCCATTGATTCCCTGGTTGTTTATTAGCTAAGGGCTCCAAATAGGTCAGTACATAAGCATCTAGGCCCCAAAACCAATCAGTTTAAATGTGTACCCCGCTCAGGATCAGGAATGACCAATCACCCCTGCCCAGAATCATGTATGATTTGTTCTGATGTATGCAAAGCCCCCCGCCCTCTCCAAAAAGTGTACTTAAGCTCTGCTTGACCACTGCTCTGGGCTCTGGGCTGCTCTCCCTTCCTGAGTGGGCCTTGAGCCCCAGCATGCTGGTTCAATAAAACTTCCCCCTGCAATTGCGTGAAGCTGGTCTCTTGTGTGGTCTCTCCCTCCGACGCTCCGCCGGACCCTTACAATCTCAAGGTAGAGGCAACTTGCAGGCAGAGGGAGAGAGGCATGGGAGATGGCAAGTGAGAAGAGTTTACCTAGAGTGAACAGAATTCCTATGCATGAAAAGTAAAAGCTGTAGATCATTGAGTCTCTAAGTGCTAAACCCCTCTTTGAGAGGCTAAATGAGTTTCACAAAATTCATGTAGTGAGTTAATGAAGTTAAGGGCCTGGACTCAGATGTCCTTGTTACTTGTCCAGAGCTGCTTCCCTTTCCAACTTTTCTTTATGAAGCAAGGAAATATGCCAGGAGAGAGACACCGAGTACGGTAAGCACGAGCACAAATAATTTAATCATCAAAATTTTAGTGAATGATTACAACTAGATGTTTTTGTCAGTCCACAATACCTCATCACTCTTTCTTACCTTCAGCAAGAACACACAGAGGATAGATTGGCATCCACAGTGTTTGACTGAGCCATGTCAAGACGGAATAGTATGTTCCTATGACTGATAACATGCTGTAAGTGTACCTGCAAGGAGACAAGAAGCTCATAAGTATCCTTTTCGGCTTGTGTCTGGGAAATAAAAGAAAATAACTTACGATATAATTAGATACAGGGATAAAACTAAAAGTATATTACTTACATACCTATTTTCTATGATTTAAAAAATAGGGCAGGTGGGGACTGTGTCACTCTAGCTTATCTCATGGGGTAGATTGTAGATAATTATAGAATTGAACAGAGTAAGAATGTAATAGTAATCTCTTGGAGTGTAACAAACTCCTTGGTTAGAGACTTCAATTTCATTAAAAAGCCCAGCCCCATTTGATGCAGCCAGCAGCTAGGTTTAAAAAAACCAAAACAAAAACTTTGGGGGATGAATTAAAATGACTTCCCAGATTCTTATTTGGCGTGTAGTTGTGGATCTTATGTGATCAATTAATTAAAAGAACTGGCCTTGAGAGCTGGTTTGGGATGTAGTAAATAGCTTTAAACCTACCAGCGTGAAGTAATAGAAAGTTTTCTACATATTTTTATATACCTGAGTAGGCCAGTGGTTCCTAGGCTTAAGCATACAATGAGAATCAACAGATAGCTTGTTAAAGCACACATGGCTGGGTCCTTCCGCCACAATTTGATTCAGCGGGACTGAAGTAGAGCCTGAGAAATTTGTGTTACAAGTTCCAGGTAAGACTGATGCCACCTGTCCAGGAATCACACTTTGAGAACAACTGGAAGAGGCAATAAAAATACATGACAAAATCCCCCAAAGCTTGAAAACACAAACAGAAAAAAGTAAGTTTTTCACTCCAGTTTTTAGAAACAATGACCAAAACCAGTTTCTTATGTAACCTTTCAGAAATGTTTTTGCATATGCTCTGTGTATGTAATGTATGCCCATGGTTTAAGCCCTTACTAACATAGCATGTTATCAAAGTTTTTAATCTTTACAACATTCAGTGAAAAATTGGACCTTTTCACCCCCCTCTTATTAGAAAAAAAGAGGAATGGGTAAGCATCTCACACATTTAAAAGTCATGTTGGAGGAAGTTCGATTTATTTCCTCTTTTGGTGCTTKTAGGTTTGGTGCCATATTTGATAATACATTGTCAAATCTGAAGTTATATTTTCTTTTAAGGCTTTTATATTTTTAGCTCTTACTTGTGAAGTAAGGTTCCAACTTCATTCTTTTGCATGTGGATATCAGTTGTCCTAGTACATTTGTTAAGACTATTCTTTGTCAAAAATTAACAAAAAATATGGTAGCTTACCTCTGCACTATTAGTTGTATTCCATGACTGATCCATATGCTAGTACTACACTCATAATAATTATTGCTTTTTGGTAAGATCTGAAATTGGAAGTGTGAATCCTCCAATTGTTCTTTTCTTTTCTTTTCTTTTCTTTTTTTTTTTTTGGCAAGCGGGTTACTGGAGATTGAACTCAGTGGCAAAATTGACCACTGAGCCACATCCCCAGCCCTATTTTGTATTTTTTTAATTTAAAGATAGGGTCTCACTGAGTTGCTTAGCGTCCCACTGTTGCTGAGGATGGCATTACAGGCGTGTACCACCACTTCCAGCCCCCCAACTGTGCTTTTTTAAGATTGTTTTGGCTGTTCTGAGTTCCTTCACTGTCCATGCAAATCTTAGATTCTTTGCAGAAATTGAGAAGCTTATCTTATCTGGCTGTGTCACTGTAGCATGCTGATTTTAAGTCCTTTGGGTATAGACTGAGGAGTGGGATAACTGGGTCAAATGGTGATTCCAGTCCAAGTTTTCTAAGGAATCTCCGTACTACTTTCCATACTGTTTGCACCAGTTTGCAGTACCATCAGCAATGTATGAGTGAACCTTTTTCCCCACATCCTCACCAACATTTATCATTACTTTGATAATTTCTGTTCTGACTAGAGTGAGATGGAATCTCAGTATACTTTTAATTTGCATTTTTCTAATTGTTAGAGATGTTGAAAATGTTTTCATATTTTTTGACCATTCATATTTTTTCTTCTGTGAAGTCCCTGTTCAGTTCCTTTGCCCATTTATTGACTGGGTTATTTGTTTGTTTGTTTGTTTTTTTGGTGTTAAGTTTTTTGAGTTCTTTGCATATCTTGAAGATTAATGCTCTGAGGTTCAGGTGGTAAAGATTTTCTCCCATTCTGGAGACTGTCTGTCCACATTCTTGGTTGTTTCCCTTTGCTGCAAAGAAGCTTTTTAGTTTGCTACCATCCCATTTATTGATTCATGATTTTACTTCTTGGACTTAAAATCAGCATACTACAGTGACACAGCCACATCAATGTTTATAGCAACTCAGTTCACAATAGCCAAGCTATGGAACTAGCCTTAGGTGCCTTTCAATAGATGAATGGATAAAGAAAATGTGAAATATATACACAAGGGAATATTACTCAGCCACAAAGAAAAATGAAATTATGGCATTGCTGGTAAATGGATGAAACTGGAGACTATCATGCTAAGTGAAATAAGCCAATCCCAAGAAAACCAAAGGCTGAAATGTTCTCTGATATGTGGTACTAATAAAAGTAGATGGGAAGGGGAAGAATAGAAATTCATTGGATTAGACAAAGGGGAATAAAGGAAAGGGAGGGAGGATGGGAATAGGAAAGACAGAAGAATGAATCGAACTTAACTTTTCTATACTCCTATATGAATACACAACCAGTGTAATTCCACATCATGTACAACCACAAGAATGTGATCCTAATTAGAATAAGTTATACACATACTGACATGTATAATATGTCAAAATACACTTTACTATCATGTATATTTTAAAAGAATAAATTTAAAAAGATTTAAATGATGAAAAAAAAAGCTATCTTGGCTTCTCATGGATTGCATTGAATCTACAGATCAATTTGAGAGTATTTCCATCTCAGTGAAATTATACCTTCAACGTGGGATGTCTATTTAATAAGATCTTTCATTTTTTTAAAAAAAAAAAGATCTATAATTTTTATTGTATAAGTTCCTAATATCTTTTAAGATTTTGATTCCTAAGTACTACTCTTTTTGAAGTTGTTATAGTTTTCTAGATTTCATTTTAGGAAATGAAAATAGTTCATTGCAAATGTATAGAAATGCAAGCTTTTTTAATTAATCTTATGCTATCTTACTAAATTAGTGGATCCCTTATGATTTATGTATATAAGATCACATAATCTGCCAATGGAGATGGTTTTACTTCTTTCTTCTCAATCTGATGACTTTTTATTTGATTTTCTTAATTGCCATTTCTAGAATTTCCAGTACAGTGATGAGTAGAAGTGGCAAGAGTGGACATTCTTCTCTTGTTTCTGAGGAGTGACTGCTAATGGATATGGGAGAATGTTCTTAGATTAAATAGTGGTAATGGTTGCGCATCTCTTTGATTATACTAAACTCCACAAATTTTAAATTTTAAAAAAATGTGATATTCCTAAGACCATTTAACAAGTAAGTAGTAGGTATGGGTTTCATCCAGATATTGCTGACCTCTATATCCAAAATTTCCATGATAGTTTGTTATCACCATCAATGCAAAGTTGGTCTCTGTTGGGTCTATTAAGCTCATTGAGACTGAACCAACACTGAAGTTTGCTCGTAGTCTGCAAAACTATTTTAAAAATGATTAATAAATTACTATGTACAAAGAATTAGTTTAATTCAAAATATTTCATTCTCCTCTCTAGGACTCAACCCATTATTTAGATATATTTGAATCTACCCACGTTATTGGCAATATAATAAAAGCAGAATTTGTATAACCTCAGCTAAAAATCTCAGGCTATTCTGTGACCTGTTCACATCCAATTCTTTCAAGTAGGGGAGAAACTATTCATCTGAAAGCTGAAGTGGCAGTTAGAACACCTCCCCAAAGAGAGGTATGAGGGCTCACTGATAAAGGTGAGAGTCTTACACCAAAGAAAGGTCTGGGCACATCTCGTTACAGTTTTAGAATTATGAGGAAACTGAAGACTAGATCAAGAATTCCCAGGGGTTCCATGAAAGGACTTCAGTTAGTCGTTTGAACCCACTGGAATTGCATACAAAACCTGATGTGGAGATGCATTTTTTCCCCTGAAAGGTGAGGTCCTAAGTTTAAAATATCTAAGTCCGCAGAAACCAACTTTGTAAATTCTGACAATGATATAAAAGTTCTGCTTTGCTTGTTAAAGTAACATGTAAGGAACGCCTTTCATTAGCAAACAGCTGTGAGGTTTATTTCAAGTTGGTGTTATGCCAAGCCTTGTGCTGGAATCCTGAATGCACTGATTTGCTCTTGTAATACCACGGTAGGTTTCCATTATCTTTGATATGCCCATTATGGAAAGCACTAAAAATACATTTCCATATCAAGATAAAATAATTTGAAAAGAGGTTATGCTTTTCTGTCTCATTCAGAGTAACCAAATGTAAGTAGCTATTACTAGTATTGAAAGCAATCTGGACTTGTTTTAAGAGATTATTTTGCTTTCTTACCTAGCCATATCCAACAGATTCCAAAAGATGAATAAAACACACACCACATATTTCTCCTGGATTTCCTCTTGACTGGTGATCACCACAAAAAGAATGACTATTCTCTCTGTGAGCTAACAAAGAAATGGCAAAGTCAAGAATTAGGATCATTTGTTAGGCCATATAAGTAATTTTCTACTTTTAAAATCCAGAGGGTTTTCTTTTTAAGTATGCTTTAACTGGAACTATGTATACCAAAATGTTAATAATGACTATTCCTTAGGGAGTTGTGTTATGGGTAAATTTCATTTCCTCCTGTTTGTTTTTCTGTATTTTCCAAAATTATATATAATGAATGAAAAGATAACATTTTATCAGGATATTTCTTTTTCTTTCCATATGCACACGTTTCTATTCACTTTGGCAATCTTTATTGAGTGTTCACTATGTATTAAATGCTGTAATGAAAATTGTGGTCCTTGCTCCAGAGAAGGGTAGTAGTGGAGGGAGAATGTGGAGCAATAACTGATGTGGAAATGTATGTGCTGTGGGTGGAGGTGGGGTGGCACAGGTGAGGGAGATGCTTGCTGCCTGGAGAAAGAACACAGACTTATGAAGACAGGCAACTATTCAACTGGATTTTAAAAAATGAATGAGTGTGTCAAGAAGACTGGATTTAAGAAAGGGCATCTTGGGCAAAGGGAACAGTCTGAGCAGATGTGTAGAAATGCAGGGTGTTTGGGGAGGAGTGAGAACCACTGAGAAATTGGAGTGGAGGGTGCAGAGAAGGGAAGAACAGGGAAGAATAAATTGAAAATGTGTTTAAGGTTGAGTTGTGAAGGGTTCTGAATGATAGGCTGAGAAATTTTAATTTCATCCAATAGAGAAGCCATTGTAGTTTTGGGGGAGGGAGGGAAGGGGAGTAATATAATCCTAACCTTCAAAAGCTAGTGGAAAATGAAGAAAATTTAACACATTCTTGAAATACATACATATATTCCAACTCAGTAAGCATTTCCAAATCATTGAGAATTCACACATTTTTGGCTTACCTCCAGTTACCAGCCTCAAAAAAAAAAATCTTTCTCCACCTAAATATTAAGTGCTTTCTTATGTTTCATTAACATATCCTGTATAGTCTACATTTTTTGGCGCTTCATAGAACATTTTACTTTGCTCTTGATGGTCAAAAGAAAGTAGATTTGAGACTGAAGGAACATACTCATAGGAAAAGAAAACGTAAAAGGATCGATTTATGGTTTTCAATAGCTGCCTTTATTTTAAAAGCTGATTAAGGAGAAAATACTGGAACAATCTGGCCATTTGTCCAGGAAAACAATCTAGTGTAGAAAAATCCAAGATTTGCCAACAGTGGGTCACATGATTAGAAGTCCACATGTATAAGCTATCTCAGCATGTGTGTGACCCCAGAGGTGAGTCAAAAGGGCCCTTGCTTAGCTAAGGGGAATTAAGACATGATTCAAACCTGAGTCAATCTGTGGTTACTATCTACATAGCAGTTTTTCTTTGGTCAGTGTTTATAATATAGTACCCTTGTTTCTTAATTATATAATGAATTCTACTGAGCTGCAAGTATAATTATGATCCAACCTTGCTGTCATTTGAGTACAAGCTGTAAGTACTGAGGCACAATCTTACATTTTATCAATGCCTGGTAATTAGGAAACCTTGCTTTTTGCTAAAAATCTCAGGGGAGACACACATGAACACATGCATACAACACAGATTTCTAATTACATGGCCAACGACTGAAAAAAATGTAGATACCTCTTAATTAGATGATCTCTGGAGTCCCCTTCAGATAAAATATTCTGACACTAGCCCAGCCCCGCCTTTTTACGAATAAGGAATTTGGGAAACAAAGAATTTAACTGACATACCCAGGCCAGGTAACATGTATCTTAAATCTCCAGAGTTGTAAGCTGTCTGTGATGTCAAGCTGACCTTTAGGGGATAAGGACAGAGGGGAAAATCTCCTGAGAGAGACTGGACCTACAGGATGAGACTCACTCCATTGAAAATAGTCAAGTGAAGTTCTGTGGCATATTAGTGATGAAATCCCAGTTGCATAGAAATCAGCAATTGACATGCCCCCAAATCCAATCCACAACACATATACATATGTGTGGGTATGCAGTCAAAATACTTCCTGCATATACAATATCAATTTGTGTGTGTGTGTGTGTGTGTGTGTGTGCGCGTGCGCGCGAGCATGCTGGGTATTGAACTCAGGGGTGTTTAACCACAGAATCACATATTTTAGCAATGTGAATGCAAATAAGCACCTGTTTCATAGCTAAAAAGAAAATTTTATTTTGAGACAGGGTCTCATTAAGTTGCTTAGGCTGGCCTTAAACTTGTGATCCTAATTGGCCACTCAATAACAATATAATATAATAGGCAGAGATGTTCTTAAGTTGATAAAAGTCAACATTTATGGGTTACTTTTTGCCAGGTTCCAAACAAACAGCATCTCAACCTCCATACTGACCATAAGAGGTGGCTACTATTACTGTTTTACAAAAGTCACTTTACTAAGTTAAAGTGACTTGCTTACAGGTCTGGCATCAAAATCTGGACAATGCAATTCTAAATCCCTGGTTGTGAAACTTTGATTCTCACCTTTGTTACTTGGTGAACTACTCCAGAACCTCACATCCAGCGGACAATCTACTCTCTAAAAGAAACTTTCCTTTGAAATTATACCTCAAGACAATAGACTCCTTGATTTCTTAAATCAACACCAAATCAATTTTGAGGAAAAGATTTTTTAAACTTATTTTCTTTGAGATTTACAATTTGGAGAACTAAGCACTATTTTATTTTTAATGAATCCTAGGACTATCTGATTATTACTAATGAATGGTCTTGTAATGTTGAGTATAACTCAAATGGAGAATAAAAGGTGTAGTAGTAGTAATCATAGTAGAAATCCTATCATTTATGCCACATTAAACCTGTTAATATTTATTCAAATGTATGGTAGCCACAAAATAAGAATACTTTGCATTTTTATGTTCTGTTTTGGAATCCTAAACTCCAGGTTAAAACAATAAATGAAGCTAAGTTCTTAGTTTATAAGTGGCAGGTAGCACTTTATAAGCTGAAGTGCTAAAGAGGCAAAATACTTCAAATGTAAGGAGATTTTCTGGAATCTTATAAATTAGTTTTAGTCTCTGACTTTTACTAAAATGACCCAAGCTTTCTATTCTGTGAACTTTTGGGAAACTTCAGAAATATCTTTATATATTAAAAAATCACCAACTAAAAAAAAATAATAATTTAAATAATTCTCTATATATTTGTTCATTCATTCTTCCTCTAATAGATAATTATGGAGAGTACTGGTACTGTTCTGGGTACCAGAGGATATAACTGTAAATAAGACCAAATCCCTGCTCTTACAGTATTTGCATTCTACTTGGTAATATGTAAACAAATGTAGCTTAAACAAATTTTTCCTATAAGATACATAACCTTTGTGATCTTCAGTAATTGACTTTTGTGTTAAGTAATTTTAGAGATAATGCTTAGTGTCTATCACATAGGAATTAAAAATAGGAAAAAGTTGTTCTGAAGAGAGTTAATGCATATAAAGAACTTAGAAAAGTGTTTGGTACATAGACCTAAATATCAGTTATGATTACATATAATTTAATGTAGTGATTAGTGTATTTAGAGGAAAACATTTTCTATATAGATAATCCAATCCAGAAACTTAAAAAGTCAATTTCAGCATTTATTAAATTACACTATAAATATAGGTTTGTACTTATCACACTAAGTAACTCCTTAGATCTAATGTACAAAACGGGAAAAATCTAAAATCTTACTTACAGAGTGAATTATATGTATAATTAATTTCCAGGAGGCTTCAAATTTTGGAGAATCTTACTGTTCAACACTGTCTTCAACAGTTTTATCTCTAACGATTATAAGCTTATTCTCAAAACTTGAGAGAAATCTATGTGATTTTATGAGAATTCAAAAGATTGGCCTAGCAATGCATATAAGCACTTGCTTCACAACTAAAAAGAAATTAAGAGTGAAACCTACCTAGTTGTTTTCTTAAAAGAGAGTAAGACACTCTCCTTGGGAATGCCTGCATATCTGTTCTGTTAACTTGGAAGGCTGCGGCAGGAGAATCTCAAGTTGAAGACCAGCTTTGGCAACTTAGTGAGACCCTGTCTCAAAATAGAGTGAAAAAGGCTGGCGATGTACCTCAGTGGTAAAGCACCCTTGGTTTTAATCATAGAACAGAGACAGGAAGAGGGTCTGTGACTGTGACATCTTTGGAGTGAGTTTTAGACAGCAAGCTTGTCCTTGTCAAATAGGAGTAGATATGGGCAAATATAGAAATGGTTCATACAGTTTGGTTTCAAATGAAATGTTTGTAGGCACAATAATTTAAGGGTAATAATTGCTAGTGTTTTGATTTACAGATTAAAGGAATTGTATAAAAATGTAAAATGAATACATATGCAACAGTGTTTAGGAAGGAAGGATGTGGAATTGATCCATTTTAATTCAGTTCTAAAGGAAGTATTTACATTTAAAGCATTTCTCAAAAAATAAAATATTACTCTTACATTACTTATATCTCACTCTTATTTCATACAAAGTATATCAGTCTAACATTATCATACAAAAGTTATTYTTTGGCTATTTCCTCCTCTTCTTGAGTTGAAACGCCCAAAAGTTGTATCAATAGACTTTCTCAGGCTTCTGCACAAATGGAGTATGAACACAGCCCTTAAAATATTTCAGACTTGGTAATACTCAAATTCTCTCTAAATTTGTTTTCCTTTTAATTAAATTTTCTTTTGTATTTTAAAACATTTTTATATAGTTTTAATTGGCATGTGCCTATTTCCATAAATAGAAGTTCTAAATAGCTATTCATGTTATGTGTTTGCCCTTTCCTCCTAAAGTATATTAAAAATAAAATATATATCTGTTAAATGCTTGTCTTATAAAAATCAATGGTGTTTTCCCCCATATTTTGCTTTAGCAATTATGAGATTTTTAAAATCATGTCTCTTCCCACAGTGCCAAAATAAAGATGTTAGTGTAAAACACACAGAACACAAACCTACCCCTATTTGTACACCACTAGTACTTGCTAAGGGATTCTAACTATTCAAAAAGCTTATCCATCCCTACTGCTAGTTGGGATTATTTATCTTGACATTTTGCAAGACCAGTCCCCCAAAAAAACTCAGCTGTGGCTTAGCAATCTCTTAAAGGTAATATTAAAATAACATCACAATTGTGTGAACGTGATTTAGGGCCTCCTTGAAAACATCTGGGAACCCTGCATTTTTAAGGTCTGCATGCAGTCAGCTATGATGATCGTGCAAGTCACTTAGTTGCCCTCCTGCCTTCAGCTTCTCCATTTAAAATGGAAAAACAGGAAAACCAACAATGATTACACAACCTAAGAGTTTTGTTTCATTACTTTAAAGCAGAGGTCTCAGTCATCGCATAATGAGAGAATTCTATTTGTCTGCAGAACTCTCATAAAGGAATGGGGCAGAAAATGAAACTTTGCACAAGATGATGTGTTTTGAAGCTCTGTTAACACCATTTTCATTCTGAGAACCAGTGAATAAAAGAAATAGAGGGCAGTGGTGCACTCCCGTAATCCCAGCAGCTYGGAGGCCAAGACAGGAGGATTGTGAGTTCAAAGCCAGCCTCAGCAAAATTGAGGCGCTAAGCAACTTAGTGAGACCCTGTCTCTAAATAAAATCCAAAATAGAGTTGGGGATGTGGCTCAGTGGTTGAGTGACCCTGAGTTCAATCCCCAGTATCCAAAAAAAAAAAAAAAAATAGAGAGCATGTGACAATATCTTAAAAGAAATTTTAAAAGTAAGTAAAACAACAACACAAAAAAACTAATAATCAGTCCAGGAGAAGAATGGCAGTTGTTTTCTCTAATGTGGTGATTACTGACTTGTCTTCCCTCCTAAGGACCAAAAACTTAAGAATCATTTTTTTTATTAACAGTAGACTATGCAAATACACTTTTAAGTCTAGAGTGTTAATGTTTGTTTATCGTTATTTCAAAATTACAATTAGGACTAACCTCTTGGATTTCAGTGATGGTTCTATAAGCCATTAGTTTTAATTAGTGGTGATTAAAATCACATTTAAATTTTCTGGAACTCCAAGAAATCAGATTTCTAAGTTTTATGATTTCTGTTAAGCAGACCTACAAAATTTTGCACAGCATAAAATATGTGCATGTTTTCTAGGCATATTCTAAGTACTCATTCAGTTCTTCTTACAGTTATGCATTCTTACCAGGTGCACTAACTAAACTAATACTACTTAATTTTGAAAATGCTGTTTTAGCATGAAGTCAGTATTAACAAATATAGCCTAAAAAAAGAAGTCCCTAAAAGTATACCAAAAGAAAACACGAACATGAACAGACATTTCTCAGAAGATGATGTACAATCAATCAACAAAATACATGAAAAAATGTTCATTATCACTAGCAATGCAAATCAAAACCACTTTAAGATTTCATCTCACTCCAGTTAGAATGGCAACCATTATGAAGAAAGACAACAAAAGTGTTGGCAAGGATGTGGGGAAAAAGTACACTCATACACTGCTAGTGGGACTGCAAATTGGTGCAGCCAATATGGAAAGCAGTATGGAGATTTCTTAGAAAATTGGGAATGGAACCACCATTTGACCAGCTATCCCTCTCCTTGGACTATACCCAAAGGACTTAAAAATAGCATACTACAGGGWCACAGCCACATCAAATGTTTATAGCAGCACAATTCACAATAGCTAAACTATAGAGCCAACCTAGATGCCCTTCACTGGATAAATGGATAAAAAAATGTGGCATATATACACAATGGAATATTACTCAGCAATAAAAAAGAATAAAATCATGGCATTTGCAGGTAAATGGATAGAGTTAGAGAAGATGATACTAAGTAAAGTTAACCAATCCCAAAAAACCAAATGCCGAAAGTTTTCTCTGATATAAGGAGGCTGATTCATAGTGATATAGGAAGCAGGAGCATGGGAGAAACAGACAAACTCTAGATAGGGAAGAGGGATTGAAAGGGAAGGGAGGGGGCACGGGGTAATTAATGATGGTGGAATGTGATGATTATTACTATGCAAAGTACATGTATGAAGACACAAATGGGTGTGAATATACTATGTATACAACCAGAGATATGAAAAATTGGGCTCTATATATACAATAAGAATTGTAATGCAYTCTGCTGTCATACAAATTTTAAAATTACATAAAAAATAAAAATAAACATGATTAAAGATTTTTTATGAATTTGATCATATTACAAGCAAAATAATTCCATGTGATAGAATAGAACTTTAGAACTTTAATTTAACATGGCCTGTTAATTCTGTCCTCCAAGATCAACATTATGGGATAGTATTACTAATTTCAGTTGTTTCAAAGTACAGCATGCAATGTTAAATAATTCATAAATACAAATAAGTTGTCTTACGAAATTACATGTTGCATCTAGGATAGATCTGTAGCTTTTTATTTTGTGAGGAAATATATTGAAGGAAATTCCATTTAGGTCCTAGCTAGTTAACTGTTATAATATTAATCTATTATATAGGATTGYCATGATTTTATTTTACATTTGAACATTTAAAATGTCTTCATTCTATTCTCCAAATAGTGATGAAAGGAAATCTGGGAATTTATTTGTTAATCATCTGCTCTTTTCCATTCATTCTAATGAATACAACTTMTATTTAATAAGTAAAATGAAAAATATCCCATAAACTTGTAATGCTGAGTTGTTACAAGGTTCCTTAGGATTATATTCCCAGTTTCACCTTTTAAACTTTCATGGTATTTAAAGCAAAGTTTAGTACAGGGACTCTATCTTATTCTTTCAACAAAAAATTAAAGTATATATTTAGATACTAAGCACTTTGCTAGGCAATATAAGACTGACATTTTAATAATTTTTACAATGTAAGTTTGGCATAGTTATACACTTTTTAAATATGTTTTGGGGATACCTAAAATTATACTCATAGATACCTATTCCCAATCCTGGAGATTATGAACACATGTTTACATAGTCACCTAACCCTTATTTCCACTCTAAGAAAAAATGCTACTTGATGGTTTTTCTTGCCTTAATCCAGATTTTTCTATTGAGTATCAGTAAATTTCCAATCTACTTTCCACCTGCCTTTAGAAAGAACATGGCCATCTAGGGCTAAAGGCCTGGTAGAGGAAACAAATAATAGCTAAAATAATAGTAATGACTAACAAGAATTTTATTTTAACTAAGTACCAGGAACTTTCCCCACCCATGTTCTCAGTTATTCTCTTAAGTCCGTGTTATTCTCACATCATGGGGTCAGTATGATTAAACAACTTGTGTAAATTCATGCAACAAGTAAGAGGCAAAACTGGGATTTGAATTTAAGTCAGTGTGACCCCAAGTCTACACTTAGATTCTACACTTGGTAAACGAAGCATTTTCCTTTTCCATTTGAATTCAATAAAAGTGGTAGAATGAACAAGAAATGGCTGGCAGTGTTCTCCAAATAGGGATGAAAGGAAATCTGGGAATTTATTTGTTAATCATCTGCTCTTTTCCAGGTATTTGTATGGTGTCCTCTCCCAGCAACACCCCAATGACTGTGGGTAGAATAACCCCACAGTAATCAGTAGAAGAGCAGGGCATTGTACTCAGGTGTGAATGGCTTCAATCCTCTGACTTTCTGCTGTCTCATACTATCCCAAGCTATGACATGCTGAGGGTGGGAAGTGGCCCTGAAATCTCCCAGGATAGGGTCAAGGAAGTATACAGATCAACACGCGCCACTGCCTTGAATGTTTCATATCAGCAGATCTAACTGCAGTTTTAGAATAAGACAATCCTTCTGTTTAATGGATTCTCCTTATCAGTGACTTCAGGGTTGGCTTTTTTTGAGTGCCATAAAATGAAAAGGCTGTAAATAGAACAAAGTTAAAAATGAAAGATTCTATAATAATGTGACTGAAACCTACCTGCAAAAACCTTGGGAAAAGATGGTTTGATTCAATGCCAACATATATGTGCAGCAACTCCAGGAGAGAAATGGATTGGCAAAGTCGCATGACAAGTCCAATAGCATAAAAAGTGTCAACCATTGAATCTGTCCAGTGGATAAAAAATACAAATAAAGTAAAAACCAGTTCATGATGCAAATCCATGCAGCTCTTTGAAATAAAGTTGAGATCATTTACCTCTTTTTATCGTACATGTAAAAAAACTCTGTAAATAGGCTACTAAATTAAGTCTGCAATGCAAAGAAAGCACTTTGTATTGTAGTGTACTTTGATCCCCTTCCAAAATGAAGTAAAAATGTAAGGCTTCACAGTGAAGGCTGCACTATTTTTCCCCATATATGAGATTATAAAGGAATTCCCACATAAAGGTAATCAGCTGGATTCTAAACCACCTGGAGCATAAATAGGTCAGAGGTGAGCTTCTAAGAGCTGTTGTGCTCAGCTTTTCCAATGACAAGAAAATGACCAAGATGAGGAAAAAATATTTCAGAGAAGCTTTATGGAAATGGCCTTAATGATGTTATGATATCAGATACTAAGTGTATCGAGCATGTGGTTCCTATATGTACCTGCCTCGTGTTTTCTGGATTTGTGCTAAACCCTGAATTTGGGTTCTGATCAGGACTTTTGGAGTTTACACTTCAGAGGGCTCAACTGAGGTACTGCCCTTGGAGTGGAAATGGAGGGGTAATAAATGTGCCTCTAAATAGGATGAATTTGGCTTTAAGTTTTAAAATGAAATCCTACCATTTTTTAAAAACTTCTAGGTGTGACTGTGCTGACTTTAGTACCTAGTGTTCATTCAAACAGTAACTGATCAAGTGCCGAGGGTCTCTMAGCTGCTGCAGCAGTTGGACACTGTTAACATCACCCTGATTTCAGATGATGGCGGATTCAAACCACCTTCCCTCTTCTGCATTGCCTGCACCTCTTGTGACCAAGCTATCAATGACACAGCTCTGTGGAGGAAGAGGGGAGGAGGAATCCCAAGTTCAGGGGTTCAGATTGCTGCTGAGCTATTTAAGTCATATTACTGATTCAGGAATTATACGGAACCCCCACTCACATGTTCTCAGTCCCCCTTTCATATAAATCAGTTGTATTTCTTTAATGAGTAGCTACTGTAATTATAATGACATGATAATATTAAGAATAAACACTGCTGACCACAGCAACTTTCCCCTCTGGAAACGTGAGACAGCTCTAGAGTTCCCGGGGACATGTATGGTGAATGACCTACAATAATACTCCCACACAGCCTCAACTTTCAAGGCCTGGACTGATGGCTTTTTTTTTTAATTATAAACATCAAGGGAGTTTTCCCATCACCTCCGTTTTCCTCTGCTTGAAAACTCCCAACGCTCATAGTTGAAATCCAAGCCTTAGGTTGTATCCTTGACATTAATTCACAAAGGCAAGAATTCATCTGTAGATTTTTGTAAGAAAAAGCAACATCAAATGGCTTATGGGATCTCAGAAGTAGATTAATTTCCTTATGATACAGAATTGATGAGCACAGCACGGCATGTTTGTTTTTTAGCTGAAACCAGCAGTTGCTCAAACTGTCAAGTCACCCAACAGTTGTAAACTGTGATGACACTTACTCATGTGGGGATGGAACATGAAGAGAATGTTATTGACAGTCATTTAATGATTCATTCTTTTTAAAAAGAAGAAGAATTGAAATGCTCTTTGCTCTTTTAAAATCGTATCTTTACTTTTTAGGAAAAGCGAGGAAGCTTATGATTTAAGCCATTATTGCCACCTTCCAGTTAGGCGATTAGTCATCTACAAAGCATGTCATTTATACACTACTTAGGAAGGGAATCAAATAGAGTCCTGGGGAGTATCAAGTTTGTTATTCACTTACTAATTTCCAGTTAAACCTAAGGAATAAAAAAAACAGTGGAAGAATTTGATTAACTCCTGGTTGCTCCGCACAACATGCAATACTGGAATTTATAAATTTCCTCAGTGCACACCAAATTTGTGAGGGTTTGATGAAGAACCAAAAGAAATGGTGAAATGGCATTTCTGCCTAATCAGAGACAAATCCCTTTCCCTTATCCCATCTTCTTCCTTCTCCAAAAAGTTTTTGATTTTTTAATAAGCAGGATGTATGATTTTTGAAAAACATGAATTTTAGAGAAGTGGAGGATGGTAGGTGAGCTCCAGAGAAATTTAAAATTAATATAAGCAACTCTAGGCAAAAACAAGGTGCAAAAGTTTAAGATAAACTGAGTTTTACCTTTTCCAAATGAAAAGAATCTGACTGTCATATTTGTAAGTATCCATGAGTGGCCACAGAACTGGATTAAATAATAGATGAAAAGATAGGCAGTCTTTCTATACCTATAAATACAGGAAAATACCATTAAACACTTCTTCTATTATTAACCTTTACATCATTGTACACAAGTCCTTTAACATATTGGTCAACCTGACAAGCAAAAACAAAACAAAACAAAAACAACAACCCCAAAACCTGTTATCAGAGTATTTTAATCAGTTGCCCCACAAAACACATCAGATTTTAAAGGGACCCATATCATATACTATCTGCTAAAGTGAGAATATTGAGTCTGCTTAAAACCAAATAAAGATCTTTTTTGATTTTCATCTTTGATAAAATTCTAACCTTGCGGCTAACCCAGGAGTAAAAGCAACATCTTCAAAGATAGCTTTGAATATYTGGTGTGGTGGTGGTGGGGGAGGGCAGAAGGATTGATATGTTCAATGTGTGCTCCAGAAGCTCAGCATGCTAAGCGCAGAACTTAACTGGGTTATACTTGTGAGCAGGGAGTAGTAATGGCCACTGTCTTAAATGGTGGATAATTCAGTAATTGGGCACATGGGACCTCTGAATGCATTATTCGATTGGGGTCAGTATCTTGCCACTGCCTTCTATTATATTTTGCAAGGGCAGATCGTTTCCTTCATCAGACACACATAGATGTTTAGTTGCTCATGCCAAAAAAGGGAAGTCAAGCTGGGTTTAAAAATGTGCTGTGGGTTGCTGGGGAGATGACTAAGGGAAGATTGACAGATGCACGATATGAGGGAGTTTGAGAAAGCATTGTTTGAAGTGTTCCCTGGAGGTTTCCAAGGATGATGGGAGTGGCCTTGCCAGTGCAGACAGGGTTTTCTCCAAGTAGGAGATGTGAAACCTCTGAGAAACAAGGTAAATTAACTGAGGAGCATGCCAAGTCCCTGGATGATCAACAGACGACGTAACTAAAGGGGCTGAAAAGAGGAAATCCTCCAAGTTGCCTCAGAATCACCTGGCTTATGGGTTAAAAATACACGGGCCTTACCCTTTCCTATTGCACCGAATCCATTTCCCTGGAATCACACGTGTGATAGGTGTTTCAGTAAGATTAAAACTCCCCCTGCAACACTTGCCCTACAACAAAGTCAAGGGCAGGGCTCTTGGTGGGGGTAAAGAGGAAGGGCAGAGGGACTGGCAGAAAGAGCCCAAAGGGAAGAGGTGGCCACACAGCCTGTCCTTCCCATTTCCTCATCTCAAAAATGGGGAAAAGAGAGCCTTCTTCCTAGGACTGTCAAGAGAATTAATTAAGAATAATACCTGTCTCGAGCTCCAGGGCCAGTAGGGGTGGGTGTCGCAGCTGGGCTGGTGGGTGTCCCCCGCTGCTAGATCCCCCGCCTCTACCAGCGGCCCCTCCTCCCGCCCGGCCCCTCCTGTCCCCTCCCACCTCTGTGCACCCTACCTGGGCTGCAGCCAGGCAGGCAGCGCCACGGGCCCCATGGGCCTCCACCACCAGGACCTCCAGCGCCGTCCGGGAAGGAGCCTGGGCGGGGAGGCGCGAGGGGGCGGCCGCTGCGGGCGTGGAAGGGCGGGGCCTCTCCACACTCAGCAATTTACAAAAAGAAAAACCAGAGGTCCTGCGATGGGCAACAGATAAAAACTTCAGTTCCTGCAGCGCAGCACTAGGAAGGGCTGGCAGGKAGTGGAAAGTGTGGGAGACTGCAGCCAGCCAGGCTCAGGAGCAACCTGGGTCAAACACATCTGCATTCCCAGCGGGCTTGACCACTCTGGTTACAAGCTCCTAATCTATGGGTTGAGACCCATTTGCTAACCCCCGTGGAGATTTACACACCTGGGAGACTTTTGGRGCTTTGAAACGTGCTGAAGGCCATCTCAAAGCCTCCGAGGATGCGTGCATCCTGGGTAGGCACCTTAATTACAACCTTCACAGGCCAGAAAGAAAGATGCGGTCACATCTCCCAACACCTTTTCCAAAAAGGTTCTTGACTTCTCCAAGAATCCGTCTTTGTCCTTGAATATCCCGAGTCCTTCCTAATGCTTACAAATTTTTTTATCGATGTTGTATTAATATCCCTCTCCTATGTCCAGCACTTGTAAACCTTCTACTGAGCTCTCAGTACTATGGCATTATCATCTCCATATTCAGATGGTCCATCTCATACCTTGCTGATAAGATCTTATCAGAACCATCTTACAGCTACTCTGTCCTGTCAGGGAAACAGGCCAAAACAGAACAACAAAAACAAAGAAACAGACAAGTTAGTACAACAACCTGTTGCAAGTTAGTACCAATAACATTCAGTTACTGTGGGTGGAAGGAGTGTCCCCATTTTATGGGAAGGGAAGTTGAGTCTTGAAAATGTTGCCCCCACTGATAAATAACAGTATTCATAAAAGGTCAGTTTATTTTATTTTTTAATTGTTAGGACTTAGTTTTCTTCCTTATAGTCAAGTCACTACAGTCACCTCTCACATCTGCAGTTCTCTGCACCTTCACCCAGCCCCTGCCTTCAGCCCCCTACATCTACCAGTCCCTTCTTAAACCCTATCAGTTGTTACCTCTGCCACTTGTTTTTTTTTTTTTTTTTTTTTTTTTTATTCTCCTTTTTCTATCGGCTTTCATCAGTTTAGGAACATACTCAAATCTTTTACCCTAGAATTAAACATTTATTCTGCTCCTCTCCTAATGCAACGTTCCCATAATTCCCCGCCTGCTGTCTCTGTGAGACATTCCTTTCATTCCTTACCATCCTCTTATTCCATAACACCTTACAATTTGACTTCCCAACTCTCTTCTGGAACTGCTCTCCAGGGCCCTCAAATCCCCATCCTGTTTCCCTCTGCTAAATGACCCCACACTCCTTGCTTTTGGGGAGCGTTAGATCTAAAGAGCAAACAGATACCCAAGCAAACACTGGTGRATAACCCATTACCAAGGTCATTGATGCCCAGGTCAAGCAACAAGAGAAAGTCAGTCCCAGACGACCTGGAGTGTAGAGGGAAGAAGGTAAGTTGCCCAGAAAAAGCGGTCCTTTGCCACCAAACACAGCCCTGGCATCCACATCATCCTCCTCCTCAACAAGTCTGCATTTTTATGTTCTTCACCTCCCTTACTTTTACCTTAGCAACTCTGAAAGTTCTAGGCTGTTCTTTCTATCTCTGTAGGTGGCTCCCTTTCTCCTGCTCTTTTTCCTCAGAGATATACCCTTGGTCAGTAATTCTTTTTTGGCCTGTCACCATGTTATCCTTCAGCACAGACACCCACCACCGTGGTTTTATCACCTCGCAGACAACTTCTCACTGTGTTATTGGCWTCCTACTTCTTCTCTCATTAACATCAGCTCTGGCCTTTGAACAACTTGTGGATGCTTCTTCATTTCTTCTACTTCCAATTCAATCTACTTAAAATAAGCTTAACGTTTTCTTCCAAATCGTTGTCTTATTTCCCCTTTTCCTAGCCACTTGGGTTTAAAATTTGGAAGACAATGTTGCATCTCCTGATGCAATCAAATTCTATTGATTCCATCCTTTCAAGATCTCCTACCAATCACTAGGGTTCCATCTTCATTCCTTCTTTTTTCAGTACCTGGCTGAGGAGCAACTGACCTCCTCAACTCCATTCTCTACATCAATACTACATGGACTTTCCTGGAGCATCATTTGGGTTATATCTTACTGTTGCACATAGAAAAAAAAAATCCTTTTTTAGTTGCCAGATGAAAAACAAGCCAACCAATCATTAAACAAAAAATTCTTTCAAATCAAACAGGGAATTCTAATTTACTTTCCAACAAATAAGTACAAAGAGAGCTTTTGAAAGAACAGTCTGGATGGGAAGTGAAAATCTCCCTCTCTCCTGGCCAGGAGCCAGTGCACATCCCCCCAGGCTCCTCCCAGCATTCTCAGTGGGAGTCTCCTCCAGCTTCCCTACCCCTAATTTGGACTCCATGTATCTCTAGACTATCATGGGTTAGTTAAGAGCTGCAGGATTTATTACAACAGTTCCGACCCTAATCTTTTCTCCTAGCCAGAATTGTTTGCTGGCTCTCTGCTGCCTTCTACAGTGATATCTCACTTTGTTTCCAAGCCTGTCACATGCTGACATCTCCTACCACCCCATTTTCCCACAAAAATTAGAGCAACTTGCTGTTCCGTGACCCCACCAGACATTCTCTCATTCTCTGGGCCATGAGTCTCTCCGAAACATTTATGTTACTTAGAATTTCTCCTCCTCCTCTTCCCTTTYTCACAACCCAATATTCACCTGTCAAAATTCCATTTATTCTTTTCAGACTTTCTCCAGAGCTTCCCACTGGGAGTCACACTGGGTTAATGTGTATCCACAATGGGACTTAGAGTATCACAGAGGTACTTGYGTGCTCAACTAGCTTACACATTCCAAGAGTGCTCTACTTCTAACCAACAGTGAGAATTTTACAAGTCTCAACCTTTTAAAACAGTTTCTATTGCCAAAAGTACAGTTTTGGGGAAGATCAAATGAGAAAGTATACAGATRAAAATGGACAATTCCATCTAGTACAGTTGCCTGGCATGATAGGTGTCTATCAAAGCATCGAGCGGATGGGTATGAGTCTTCCTTTCCCCAAAATGTAATCAAAATAAAACAATATTCAGTGATTGTTAACATATGTATAGTGGACTTTCAATTATCTATTTGTATAGAAGAAGTCAGAGGCTAAAACAATTCAAATAACTGAATTAATATATTCTTAACTTTGGAAGGAATTTTTTAAATTATAGGAACATTCAATTTTTTTTCCCCATGGGAAAAGGTTTAAATTTTCTCATCGCAAAAAAGATCAACTAGACCACACATGGTGGAACACRCCTGAATCGCTGCATCCCAGGGGGCCAAGGCAGAAGGATGGCAAATTCAAAGTTAGCCTCAAACTTTGTGAGGCCCTAAGCAACTTAGAGAGACCCTGTCTCAAAAAAAAAAAAAAAAAAAATAGGAAAGGGCTGGGGATGTAGCTCAGTGGTAGAGTGCCTCTGGGTTCAATCCCCAGTACAAACAAACAAACAAACAACAACAACCCTAGGTGACTAAAGTCTTGAAACATTTTACATTTTTTCATGGTGGTAACAGACTGGCTCAAAAAAWTTAAAGAATATGTAAGAATTAATTTACATATTCAATCCAATTTACACAAGGATCTTCAGAGAAATTAAATCCTATGGCTGAAAAGCTGTACTTTAGACACTTATCCATCCCTCCCCTCTATACATCTTTTTTCATTTTTCTCATCTCACTTCCTTGGCAATCTTACTTCTTGAATGAGTGCTTCATGTGATTTGCACGGAGAGCAGAGACAAGAACTGTATTATAGGGAACACATTACCCTCTTTTTCTTCTATCAGTCAGAAATTGTTTTATAAGAAACAATTATACACTGATAACTGTCAATTCGAAATTTCTTGTTCATATTCATCACCGGGAATTTTGAATATTCACCYTTCTTCCAGTTCCAATTCTACAGCACAGATTAAAAATTTCACAGGATGCTAGATCACTACAGGACCTCAGAGATTCTATGATCYAGTCCATTTCACGTGATCTTACCCTAATTTTTAGATAAGGAAACAAGGTTAAACTAGTTAAATAATTTTAACCAAGATCACAGCTAATTAAAGGTTGCAACCAAGACTAGAACCTTAATCTGTCTCTAGATACTGAGTTCTTAACCATTATGCTATATTAATTTGTTTCATTTGATTGTTCAATATTTGTTGGAAACTATTGACCTTCTTTGTACTACATATAATAGTCAAATTTTAAGACTACTTAAAACCTAAAACCAGAAAACTTCCTGAAGAAAACACCAGMGAAAAGTCTTTGTGACTGGGTTAGGCAGAGATTTCTTAGATCTTTCATAGATACTTCTTAGAGACTATATGGAACATTTAATATTTCTTAGCTACTTATGATATTCAAAAGATATTTTTCAATGAATAAAAAGACAAGTAATTGACTTGGAGAAAGTATTTTTAAAACATATGATTGATAGAGGACTTGTATGCAGATATATGAAGAATTCTCAAAAGTCAATAAGACAACCCAGTTTAAAAAAAATGGGCAAAAAATTTGAACACAAGTTTCACCAAAGAAGTGTGAAAAGAACATAAAAATTTGCCCCAAAATCATTATTCATAAGGGAAATGCAAACATAACACAATGAGATACCACAGTATACTTATTAGAATAGCTAGAACTGAAAAGACTCACTATCTCATATATTGAAGATGTGCTAAACCTGGAACTCTCACATACAACTTTAGAACTGTTCAAAATTAGATACAAACCAATATTTTATCAATAGATGACTGGATAAACAAAAAGTTCCATAACTGTGTGTGGAATATTACTCAGCAATAAAAAGGAAATTAGTCATAKAAGCAATGTAGATGAAACTCAAAATAATTATGCTGAGTTTAAAAAATGAACTAAAGCCAGTCTTCTAAAAAAAAATTACATACCATATGAGTCC